AGATTATAAACGAAAATAAGTTATATATATATATATATATATATGATCCTTTGACATCAGTGTCAAATTTAAAATTTGACACCTCATCTGAAAGACATTAGATCGATCAATGATATCACATGCTTATAAATCAGAGCCATTGATCTTTTTTGATCTAATGACTTTCAGATGAGATGTCAAATTTAAAATTTGACATTGGTGTTAAAGGATATTATCTCTCTCTCTCTTATATATATATATATATATATATATATATATATATATATATATATATATATATATATATCCTCACCAAAATATATATATATATATATGGAAAAAAATATTTCTACAACCACTTTAGATAAGGTTATTTATATATATCCTCACCAAAATATATATATATATATATATATATATATATATATATGGAAAAAAATTATTTCTACAACCACTTTAGATAAGGTTATTTACAGCTACCCAAAAATTACGTCGTTTTAATTAAGGAATGGTGTTTCTGTAATTTTAGGTGATTAATGAATAGTGTTTTCGTAATTTTGTTCATTTTTTTATCAGATGCATTTTACTGAAACAACCTTCATTAATTGGCTTTTTGACCCTTTTGCCCCTAATTAAATAATTAATAACCAATTTGCCCCTCCCCCAGAACTATCCACCATCCTGCCCCCATTTAGTCGATTAAGTTGCACTTTTAATCGACTAAATGGGCTAAACTCAGAAATCATGAAACGCGAATTTTAGTCGACTAAAAACTCACCTTAATCGACTACATTGTTTGCACTTTTAGTCAACTAAGCACATTATTTAGTCGACTAAATGTCGCAGATCAAGTTTTTAAAAAAACCCCCCATTTCGCAAAGGGAGTTATTTTCAAACCCTAATCGACTAAATCGCTCCATTCCGTCCCCTCTCTCCAACCAAGTTCGAATCTCAACCCTTGAAGGTGCGATTGAAGCTTCCTTGGTTCACACTTGCGAAATCGACATTTAGGTAACATATTCTGCCTGCATTTGGTTTTAAGTTTAGTTTTTTTTTTTGTTTTCTCCATGCATTTGATTTCTGTTTGCAGTATTGTGGATTTAGGTTAGGGGTAGGGTGCTAAGTTTGATGTGAGGGTGAGGGTTAGGGTTGATGTGGTGCCTTAGGCTTAGGGTTAGGGTTATGTTAGGGTTAAAGTTAGGGTTTATGTTGCTGTTTTGTTTGGGTTGTAGTGTTAGGGCAAGGAATGGGTTTTTGTGATGTGCTAGGGGTAGGGTTAGGGTTAGGGTTAGGGTTTCTGTTTTTTGTTTTATTTTAGGATTAGGTTTTATTTTTTATATTGAATTTTAAATTTTTTGATATTGTTATTGTTCATTGATTTTTGTTTCCACTTGCATTGTAGGTACAGTTGTTCCATGGCTGGCCGTAGAAGATCGTCTAGCACTGGAAATGAGAGACGACAGAAGCTACGACAAGACCGTCCGTCTTCGTCAAGGCCACAAGAGGAAGACCCCGCTGTTGTCGACCTCTCATTCGGATACTTGTTCGAGAATGACCCGGTGGTTCATGAATCCTTTGTCCGTGACTTTGTTAACCGACCGATTTGTGGGGCCAAATCACTTGATACAACCTTTTTTGAACAAGAAGGTTTTAACATTGTGAGGTGGTTGGAGGAATCACATCTTAGGACCTTGGCTGAACTGTCGTGTTCATATTCTGAGCTGCATGTACGGGCCTTCTACCATAACCTCAGCTACCATCAGGGTGAGCTGAGGTCTAGGGTCTGCGGGGTGGAGATCATCATGACGACTCCGGTATGGTTGGAGTTACTGGGGTATGACTTTGATTCTGCGCAGACTGTGGAATATGACGCAGACAGCGGGACCATACTTCCAGGATATACACGCGGTGATGCCGTGCAGGAGCAGAGAAGAGTCAGTGGGCAACACATTGCCTATACGGTGGGGTTGCTTACTATGGAGTCCCGCATACTACACTATGTCATCACCCACATTCTGTTTCCGCGAGCGTTCAATCATTCCAGGGTGTTGGAGCATGACATTCCCATCATGTGGGCTATCCGACATGGTACTTCGGTGAACTGGAGGCACTACATCTGTTGGATGATGTATAAGGCCAAACACAAGGGTGCACTTCCATTTGCTTGTCTTGTTCAGAGGATATTGGAGCATTTTGATGTTCTCATGGGTAATGTGACCTTGAAGAAGACCACAGGGTATAATCATAATTGACCTTGCAGTGCACCGGAGCCGTCATGATGATCTCCACCCCGCAGACCCTAAACCTCAGCTCACCCTGATGGTAGCTGAGGTTATGGTAGAAGGCCCGTACATGCAGCTCAGAATATGAACACGACAGTTCAGCCAAGGTCCTAAGATGTGATTCCTCCAACCACCTCACAATGTTAAAACCTTCTTGTTCAAAAAAGGTTGTATCAAGTGATTTGGCCCCACAAATCGGTCGGTTAACAAAGTCACGGACAAAAGATTCATGAACCACCGGGTCATTCTCGAACAAGTATCCGAATGGGAGGTCGACAGCAGCGGGGTCTTCCTCTTGTGGCCTTGACGAAGACGGACGGTCTTGTCGTAGCTTCTGTCGTCTCTCATTTCCAGTACTAGACGATCTTCTACGGCTAGCCATGGAACAACTGTACCTACAATGCAAGTGGAAACAAAAATCAATGAACAATAACAATATCAAAAAATTTAAAATTCAATATAAAAAACAAAACCTAATCCTAAAATAAAACAGAAAACAAAAACCCTAACCCTAACCCTAAAACAGAAACCCTAACCCTAACCCTAACCCTGACCCTACCCCTAGCACATCACAAAAACCCATTCCTTGCCCTAACACTACAACCCAAACAAAACAGCAACATAAACCCTAACCCTAACCCTAAGCCTAAGGCACCACATCAACCCTAACCCTCACCCTCACATCAAACTTAGCACCCTACCCCTAACCTAAATCCACAAAACCGCAAACAGAAATCAAATGCATGGAGAAAACAAAAAAAAAAAAACTAAACTTAAAATCAAATGCAAGTCAGAATACGTTACCTAAATGTCAATTTCGCAAGTGTGAACCAAGGAAGCTTCAATCGCACCTTCAAGGGTTGAGATTCGGACTTGGTTGGAGAGAGGGGACGGAATGGAGCGATTTAGTCGATTAGGGTTTGAAAATAACTCCCTTTGCGAAATGGGGGGGTTTTTAAAAAACCTGATCTGCGACATTTAGTCGACTAAATAATATGCTTAGTCGACTAAAAGTGCAAACAATGTAGTCGATTAAGGTGAGTTTTTAGTCGACTAAAATTCGCGTTTCATGATTTCTGAGTTTAGCCTATTTAGTCGATTAAAAGTGCAACTTAATCGACTAAATGGGGGCAGGATGGTGGATAGTTCTGGAGGAGGGGCAAATTGGTTATTAATTATTTAATTAGGGGCAAAAGGGTCAAAGAGCCTTCATTAATTCGTCTAAAATTACAAAAACACCTTTCGTTAATCAAAACGAGTAGCTTTTAGATAGCTGTAGATAACATTATCTAAAGTGATTGTAGAAATATTTATCCCTATATCTATATATATACAGAAAAATGTTTCAGCAGTTATTGCAGATAAATTATCTGCCTTTACTCTCAAAACAACGTCGTTTTAGTATTGAAATATTAAAAAATTATAATTATAAAGACTATTATAACCCTAAAATAAATTAAAATTACAAAAAACATTAATTTTAGTCTCAAAATGACGTCGTTTTGGACTCAATGTAGATAACTTATCTGCATTAACTGCAGAAAAAATGAACTCATACATATATATATATATATATATATTATAGAGCTAGGGACTAAAAATTTGTAGATCTAAGAGAGTAAATTTGTTTGAAGAGCTGTATTATTATAAATTTGAATCTATGGCAAATTCTACCACGTAATTAAATTTTGTAACATGCATATATTTATATTTTGTAAAGTTCGTTTTCAAATATAGAGTTTATAATAAGGGTTTTATTAGTGTTATGTAACATAATATAAGTATTGTTTTCAACTCTCACATCAAAAATGAGAGAGAAAGTGAAATGATAAAAGAGAAAGAAAAACATGTGAACCCTATCTCTTTAATATGTGTGTAGGAAAGTGGAGTTATATTATGTTAAATGATAAACATAAAACCCTTGTAATAAACCCGACAGACCCAACCTTGATTTTTTCAATTGATCGGATAGACGAGTACAGTTACTTTACTTGCATTTCAAACAAAAAAGTTTAGGTCCCCGCCTTCTTTGCGAAGGCATAAGACAGCTCTAGTGGACTTGACGTGTCGCTGATAATTTCCACAAGAACTATTTTTCATTTTTTCAAAACTCAATTTTTTTTTTTTTTTTTTTTTTGGTACATCAAAACTCAATTTTTATATTCTTCAACATCATTTTTTTTAAAACTTATTTTCAACATCATTTTTTTTAGTAACTATTTAAATTAGTCTTTGAAGAAATTAACAAATCACCGGATTAATCATTACTAAATTTGTTTCACAAAATTATAAAATAGTTTTCAATTTTTTTTTATTTTGTGTTGTCATTTAAATTTTTATAAGAAATAATAAATATAACAATATCTTATATGGTCAACAAAATTAATTCTATAACAAAAGTATTTAAAAAATTAATGTAATAAAATATGGGTTTATTTTTTCTGATGTTATTTAGATAACTTTATCTAATGTTCATCAAAACGACGTCGTTTGAGACGGAAATCATGATATTTTTGTAATTTTAATTTATTTCAGGGTTATAATAGTCTTTATCACTCTAATTTTTTAATTTTTTAACTCCAAAACAACGTCGTTTCAATAAATATTAGATAAAATTATCTAAAGTAAGTCGCAAAACTTTTTTACCATAAAATATATGATGATTTCCTCATCGAACAACAGTGTCCAAACATCATAATTGCAACCATTTCCATCGCATCTATAAATAGAGCTGCTGCAATCAAACATATTTTTTAACTTCCCCTGACTCACTAATTACTTACTTTACTGAGGTTGGTTGTGTTCTTCAACCGATCGAAGAACAAGAAGACAACAACATGGAAGGAGGAGTAATAGAAGCCGATGTTTCTGCTTTCAGAGAATGTTTGTCTCTGTCATGGAAAAATCCTTACGTTCTTCGTCTTGCTTTCTCTGCTGGAATTGGTGGCCTTCTCTTTGGGTACGACACCGGTAAGTTTAATTCAATTTAATAATCTCTGTAACCTTCAAATTAACAACACCCTCTCTCTCTCACCGTTTCTGTTTTTCTCTTTTTTATAATTCACAAGTTTTATGCTTTGCATCTCTGTCTTTTAATGTTTATCTTTGTGTTTGCATATTTGATCGTTGATGGTGATGGGTAGGAGTGATATCTGGGGCTCTTTTGTATATCAGAGATGATTTCAAAGCTGTGGATACACAGACTTGGCTACAGGTAAGGTACTGTTCATTTGTGTCTTCTTTCTCGACGAGCTTGTCTTGTCCATTCTTAATGGACAGTAATACCGTCAACTTTTACATAGGGAAAAAGCAAAATTAATGATATTCACATGAGTTAATTTCTTCCATACATTTTTTTAAAGTCATTATTTTACTTTTATGCAAACACTTCACATGTTGATCTTTAAACATGAACAAGATATTATGTCTATATTTATTTTACTTTTTTTTTAAATATTGTTAAATAAGAATTTTAAAAGGAAAGAAAAAGGGTGAATGTTATTAGTTGAAATTTTATTAAAAAAGGAGTAGGTAAAATAAACATAAAAAAATAAGCATAATATCATATCTTTAAAAAGATAAGGTTGATTTAAATATTGCATTGAATTCTCAACTAATCACATTTTATTAATATGATAAAAAGCGGATTTTGTGGGCATACCCTCTAAGAGGATATTGAATTCTCACCTAATTATTTAAAGTAAAAGGATTGAATATTTTTAAAAAAATTAAGATAGTATAGTGAGAAGAAATACGTAGAATAATTATAAAAAAGTTGGCATAATATCTTATAAATTTTTTTTTACCTTTATTTAATACTTTTTACTTTTAAATCATTCATATATGTTTTAACAAACAAATGTTTATAAAATAAAATCTTGTGTATAGGCATAATTTGTATGTATATAGTGAGTTAGTGACATAACATGATGGTTTATGAGATCTTAGCCGTGTAAATGGCACTTTATTTTTAGGATCATGATTTTTCTTGCACAATTTTTAATGTCGCATTTGGTTTGGTAAATTAAAAAAATAATAAATACTTCGAAGTGTTAATCTAATACTGATGTTGTATTTTTATTATAGAATACTAATGGCACGAAAAGAATTTTTAATGTCTCATTTGGTTTGGGTGAATTAAAAAATAATAAATACTTTCTCATACAGCTACTGTAAATTTTTGGAATTTTGGCCTCTCTATCAGACCGTGCTCTACTCTGTCCTAATTAATAATAATATTAAGTAGGCCTACTAAGGGTGTGGTCCATCGTCCATGTAGTTCTAAAATCGGCGGAGTTTTTTTTTTCTAAACCTGCATATTCCATAAAAAGGGTAATATATAAATGATATTGTGAAATGCTGTAAGCCTGTAACGCTAATTAGCAAAAAAAATATAATTTAACTGCTTCGTTAAAATATCTTTTTTATTATAATATGTGGTAACAAAATTTGTATGTAGAAAATAGTTTTGCGCGTAAATCTTTTTATTTAGTTGTGTGATTTTTAAAAGAAATATATTACTCAATAGCTGTTGTGGGTCTTTAGATAGAATATAGAAAAACAAAGATATAGAAGCCGCAGTTGGATATTGTTCTTTATCTATAATTTTATTGATTTTTTTATTAGGAACAAAAAAAAAAAAAACAGGTTTACGGGTCCTTCTACCTATATGTACAATATGCAATCAATCTCCTCCTGTCTGTGCAAGCATGGGGCAGGAGACTACTGTCAATAGATTAAGCTAGACCAATCACATCAAATGGATTCAACATGTTTCTCTCACTTATATAGACTTTACTTAGCTCATTGTCAACTAATGTGAGACTTATGACATTTTGAAAAAAAAAAAAAAAAAAAAGTTCTCATGAACTATAGCGTTACTATTATACAAATTTATGTTACAGAAGATTTGCTAATCGTAATGACGTATCATGACTCACATAATTCCTGTAACCACTTACTTATTCGTTTGTTTTAAACTTCGAACATATAACTATTAGTTGCAATTATTGAGTGACAAAGAAAAGTTCAAAAACTTTTTAACTCAATTGTTAAAAGTACACCACAAAAAGGGTAAATTTAAAAAAAAAAAAATATGATGTTGAATCGTTGATAACACAGGAAGCAATAGTGAGTATGGCCCTTGCTGGAGCAATCATAGGGGCTGCAGTTGGTGGATGGATTAACGATCGATTTGGAAGGAAAAAAGCAATCCTTATTGCAGATAGCCTCTTCTTTATTGGGTCTGCTGTCATGGCTGCTGCTACCAATCCATCTATTCTCATTGTTGGTAGAGTTTTTGTTGGACTTGGTGTTGGAATGGCCTCAATGGCTTCCCCTTTATACATCTCTGAAGCTTCTCCAACCAGAGTTCGAGGAGCCCTTGTTAGTCTCAATGGATTTCTCATAACTGGAGGACAATTCCTCTCCTACCTCATCAACTTGGCCTTCACAAATGTGAGAAACTATGCTTCACAATTTCACTATATAGTATGTTGAACTAGCTGAGTTTATTTTGATAAACATGTATACAAATGAGGGATGATTACACTTATTTCAATTTTTAAATGCTATATGGATTATTGGTTCAAACTAGTATTTTATACCTTAGTTGTTTTATGATCATTTGTTCAGGCACCAGGAACATGGAGATGGATGTTAGGAGTAGCAACTGTACCAGCTCTGTTACAAATTGTACTGATGAGTATGCTGCCAGAATCACCGCGTTGGCTGTTCAGGAAGGTTCCATTATCTATCATAAGTACATGTACTCTAATTTTATTTTATTTTTGCTTATGAAAAACTGCATCTTAACTTGCCTTTCTTTCTTGCCTTTATATTGAATAATAAAAGGGAAGAGAAGATGAAGGCAAAGCAATTTTAAGGAAGATTTACCCACCCCAGGAAGTTGAATCTGAAATTAATACTTTGAAGGAATCAGTTGAACTGGAAATCAAGGAAGCAGAAGCTTCAGATAAGGTCAGCATAGTCAAAATGCTGAAAACTAAAACTGTGAGAAGAGGTTTATATGCAGGAATGGGGCTTCAAATCTTCCAGCAGTTTGTGGGGATCAATACAGTAATGTACTACAGCCCCACCATTGTTCAGTTAGCTGGTTTTGCATCCAATAGAACAGCACTACTTCTGTCACTTGTCACAGCTGGCCTAAATGCATTTGGTTCTATATTGAGTATATACTTTATAGATAAGACTGGAAGGAAAAAGCTTCTGCTATTCAGTTTGTTTGGTGTTGTAGTCTCCGTTGTTGTTTTAACTGTTGTATTCCATCAGAGTACAACTCACTCCCCAATGGTTAGCACAATTGAAACCTCTCACTTCAATAATACTTGTCCCGATTATAGTACAGCTGTGAACCCTGGTGGATGGGATTGCATGAAGTGCCTCAAGGCTTCTCCAGAGTGTGGCTTTTGTGCTTCTGGAACTAATAAGGTAAATTTATCCTCTTCCCCTCCATATTGAGTACTTCAAAAGATTTCATCATTCCCATGTTCTTATTCCTTAGTACAAATCTCCATTTGGCAGCAGTGTTATGTTATCATATCTGCGTCAAGGGACAGGATCCGTTTACAAACTTTTTTTGCAATCACACTAATGTAGGACCGGTCGTACAGTGTGTGATTAATGTAGGACCGGTCCTACATAGTGTAGCTTGTAAGAGTTTGTAAACAAAAAAGTTTGTAAATATAACTTGCCCCCTGCATTAATTTATAGTATAGGAAAATTGTCGAGTAAATAAATTAGCAAATTTGTCCCTGAAATTATTCTCCACTTGCAGATTATTCCTTGAATTTAATTATTGTATGAGTTAGTAGTAACTGAATTTATAAAACTTGTAGGCTAATTAACTTGATATGATGAGTGTTGTAAATTCAGGGACTTAAATCTGAAAATAAATAGATTCAGGGACTAACGTGCAAATAGAGAATAGTTCTAGGGACTAAGTTTGCTAATTTACTGAAAAATGACACAATCTTTTTTTTTTTTGATAACAAAATGACACAATCTTTACTATTGAGTTGTAATGTAACACTAGTAGCAATTATGCGCAGCTCCTACCTGGGGCATGTTTGATCTCCAATGACACCACAAAGGATCAGTGCCAGAAAGAACAAAGGCTATGGTACACGAGGGGATGTCCTAGCAAATTTGGATGGCTTGCAATAATAGGCCTTGCACTCTACATCATATTCTTCTCACCCGGGATGGGAACTGTTCCATGGGTTGTCAACTCTGAGATTTATCCTTTGAGGTATAGAGGAATCTGTGGAGGAATGGCATCTACTTCTAATTGGGTCTCAAATCTTATTGTTGCTCAGTCCTTTCTATCATTGACACAAGCTATTGGGACGTCATGGACATTCATGATATTTATATTCATCACTGTTGCAGCCATTATCTTTGTTATTATTTTTGTCCCAGAAACCAAAGGACTTCCAATGGAAGAGGTTGAGAAGATGCTGGAAAGAAGATCTCTAAACTTCAAGTTTTGGAAAACAAGTTCTGATTCTGGAGAAGTACAAACACAAAAGACTCAGTCAATTTAAGTTAATTGTGTTGTATCATACTGTAATATTGGAGTGTAATCAGGGAACTATATATGGGTTCAGACAAAGGTAATAAAATAGTAAAATGTGGCTATTAGATTATCATATAGATTTAATAACTTAATCTTCTGTCAATTAAAAAAAAAAAGGTTCATGTGTATACTTATTTGATTTAACAAATTACTATTTGGAAACTACAAATTAGTAACAAAACCAAGTAGAGATATCTTATATTAGAGGAACATAAATTAACAGAACAATAACTAGTGGTCATGTCATGCACTATTCCCTAGCTACAAACTCTGAGGAACGGAAACAGAAACGTAGCAAAAACAAGCATATTAGATTGGGCTTAATTTTAGAGATCTGAGTATAAGGCTGAGTCCCAACAAAATGTTAGCCCATGGACTAGTTAAGGTTTAATCATGTTTTTCAAAAGGTAATAAAATGCTTCGCACACCTATAGCATATAGGAAAGTTGATGATATATACCTTGAAATATCTATCTAAATTTCATTCACACCAATAGAGAATAATGAAAGAAGAAGTTTAATAAATAGTGATTGAGAAAAATAGTGTATAACAGGAATAAGCATCGAAAAACAATGAGGCTTTAATTACAATGATTGTACTTGTGCCAGTCCTCTACCACATTTCATGCTGCTTTAAATAAAGAATTTAAAGGTTTATGTTCGCATGTCTGTACTCTATTATGCTTTCATTAATTTAATGATACTTTACGTCAAACTTAAATTTGTCGAACTAGTAATCGTCGTCTTCAAATCTGGATTCTGGAGTTATCATTTTGTCAGCATAAGGCAGAATGTTTGGTATAATTGTTTCTTTTTTTTAAAAAAAAAATATCTATGTATGTAATCAGAACAAAAGACAGTTTTTCAGATGTAGCTTTTATAAACAAGAAAAAAAAAAAGGTTATTGCCTTTTATAAATTCTTGTCATATACATTGTATATTTGTATTCTATTACATATTATGTACTATTAAATTTTTTAATGTAAGAATAATAAAATATTGCTAACTGAAAAATAAGTAATCAAGAATATTGGAATCAGAAAATCGAAATCATTATTATCAAAACTAAGAAAATATATAATATAAAAAGCAAATGTTATTGGTTCTAACAAATAAATAAGTATAGATATGAAACAATACAAGTATAGTATATTGTTAAGTGCATTCTGTTTATTTCGGTAACCATTATATTAAGTGCATTAGTTAATAAATCCTAACTTTGTTGTAGTTCAAATATGTGCATGGACATATATTTATCATTCAACTTTAGATGTCTTTATTGTTTTGTGTCAAAATAATAGGAAATTATTAATGTAAATTTTCCTAATAGCTTAAGTTGCTGGGAGAATTGGTTAATGATATTTTGATAAAAAAAAAATTATATATGAAATGCATTTTAACCGTTTCAAGCGAAAAACTATACAATGTTAATTCCACGGCTTAGTAATGATGTGAAGCACAGTGTAAGTTACTATAAGGGAAAAGACATATTTGAAAAAGTATGCTTTTTCGCGATTAATCTAATTCAGGTGAGGTGAAAATATGTGTTCGATCATTTCTAGTATTGTCTTTTGGAGATATTTAAAGTTTTAATCTCAGAATTCATCCCAAATTGAATAAATTGTAAAATAATGAATTGATTGGAATATCTCAAATATATATATAAGTATAGTATAATATAAATGGTGGCATTAATTAAATTGACGATTCTTCTAGTTGTCTGATGCTGAGTTATCCATATGTTACCTCTAATATACAACAATCCAAATATCATTATAAAAAGAAACATGAAAGAATAAAGTCAAAAGTATTTCGCATTTAGAATAATATTTAATTCCGAAATTGAACGTGGTGTCTTATTCAAAATAATGCCATAAATGCTTTTCACTCAAGGGGTATTCACAAGAATCACAACTGTGAATGCATTGCCATTTATCGATCATTTAAGATGTTTTTTTTTTTTTGATACAGGCGCTTTTTTGTGTGTGGATAAGATGCTAATTCATTTATTCTAAGTTTTTTTTTTAATTTATCGATGACATGATTAGTCCAAAATTATATTTTATTTGAAGTGAAAAAATAAAATAAAAATCAAATTATATTAGTATCTGTCCAAAGGTCAAACTTCTAACAAACTGATCTAGTCACCTACCTAATAATTAGAAAATAGAATATTGCCCACTGCTCAAAAAACCTCACCCACATGCAGCCAATAGTAACCCACCTCCATGGTCGAAAAGCATACCGAAGTACAACAATGATAATTAAATATTCTTCTAGATTATAAGCTTCTTCTTTTTTCAGCAATGGTTTCCTTGTACAAGTAAAAAATGGATACCTAAAAGGCTAGCCTATACTAGTAATAATATTTAATAATGAGAAGTTATATTTATAAAAAAAAATTGTTTACAGAGTACATTATATGTCTTATGAATAAGATATTTTTGAATAAATTTTTACTGATAATATATAGTGTCATTTGTAAGTTTATAAAAAAAAAAGTTTGTCAATATAATCCTTCTCATTTAATAAATATATAATAAAATGACAAAACTAAAATAAAATTTATTAAATAAAAATCAAAGAAGAATATAATTAAGATATTTAATTACAATGCCTTTTTTCGTCGGATACCTATTCGTTCCTCGTATGGAGTACATTAGGCATTGTTTTGGCATGACAAGTTATTACTATTTGATAAAGCTGGATATCACTTTCTTGGATCGATTCTTCTTTCTTGCTTGATATATCAGGGAAAGGGACATAGGGAAGCAACTTGGAAACCGTGGTAAATAAGTGTTACCGACCCAGTTCCTAAAGCGCCGCCCAAAAGTAGGTACCGGTTAATATAGATCCATAAATTGATTAAAATATATTATATTTTTGTAAAAAAAAATTATATAATAATATTTCAATTTTTCCCCCACCACCGATTAAATAGTAATAACTAATGTTATTAAAACTGACCTAGTCATTGATCCGATCGAGGTACTGGGTCACTGAATCACTGGTTCTAGAGATGTGCATGGGTCGAACCGGACCAGATTTTTTGAAAAATCGAATCGAATTGATTTAAATGGTTCGGTTTAGAAGTGGTTCGGTTCGGTTCAAAACTGGTTCGGTTCGGAAGTGGTTCGAAAGTGGTTCGGTTTGGAACCGGTTCGGGTCGACCTCTTTTGAAAAGAAAAGAAAATTAAAAATTTAAAAAATAGAGTTATAAAAATCAATTTGGTTCCGTTTGAAAACGGTTCGGTTCTTAAACAGATTCTAAAAACCGGTTCAGTTTATGAACTGGTTCTTTATCGGTTCGGTTCACGAACTGGTTTTTAAAAACCGGTTATTTTAAGGGCGGTTCGGTTCGATTCATGGTTCGGTTCAGTTTTTTGATTATTTTGCACATCCCTAATTGGTTCAACCGCATGACTCGGTAATTATATGCAATTCTATAGTTTATATGAAAAAATTATAAACATACTTAAATATCTAAAAAAATGATAAAAATTTCAAAAAGTTTAATATAAAAATAAAAAATCACATATTATTATCCAATAAAGGATCAAACAAAAATATAATGATTGCGATACGAGACTTCAGGTTCAGTAAACGACACATCTAACTATAAATCAAATTAAAATTCTCTGCATTGTGCATAATTGAGATAATATTAGTGTTGTAGGTACATAACTTATATAAGTCAATAAGCAAAAAAAATATTCCAATATGTCCATTATTATTATTATTTTAAAAAAAAAAATTGAAATTTTTTTTTGGGACTGGGCCAGGTCACTGGTTAACTGACTGGATCATCGATTTTAATGAAAATCAGCCAGGTCACACCAATTCTGATGCATGACGGGTCCATTACTTCAACTAGACCGATTATATGACCGATTTATCAATTTCCCAATCGATCAAACAAGATCAATTCGATTTTATGAACATTGGTAATCACAATGCTTGAGGGTAACTATAGTTACTTTTAGAACGCGTATTGTTTGAGGATACTTTCTTCTTTTAACTTTTTTTACTGATTTATCTCTTTCTTTTCTCTTTTTTTCTCCTTTTACAATTAATGTGTAGTGACTTTTTAATTAATCACGTGTCGGTGAAGGATGTGAAACATTTTTAGCCGACATGAGTCTTCTCCAAGAGTTTCGTCTAAAGAGATGGGATGGCAGTAAGGTTTTTGGTGTTACGTTGTCGTGAAGTGAATAATAGAAGGAATTCATCATGGTGCTAGAAATTTATTTCCTCTAAATGCAGGACATCTATTTTTTTTAGCATAGGTATATGATAGTTAAAATGTTCAATTGAAAATATGAGAAAGGAAAAGTCGAGTCCAAATGTTTATTAGAGAGAGAGAGAGATTCATTGACCAATCGTCGAGCTTTGTGTGAGATTGTCTATTTATGTAATTATAGCACTCTCTTCACGCTTCAGCAGCAGCTGCCATTTTCTCGCAATATATCACTCAACAACCCAAGTTGTACGTACGTAGTGACACGGGAAAGACTAGTTTTATTTTATTTATTTTCTATTTTGTTAATGGGAAACACCAAGCACTGCAAGCAGAATACTTGAAGTCATATGATTATTGTGATCTTGAACTGAATCACGGGTAGGGTGGTCAATATATGGATAAGAACGGATAAAATAAAATTATTCTACAGGAGAAAGGAGCTAAAAAGCCAAATACCCGGAGGTACTATACGTGCTTTAAAGAGAAAAGAGAGTTAAAAGAATATTATATAGAACTCCAGCTAAAAACAAAGAGACTAGGTTCATGTCTATATTTTATAATATAGTTTGTAAGTAAATAAGTCAGATTAATCTTTAAGATAAATAAATAATTTTTTGGATAAAAAATAATTTTACATAATTTGAACTTCATTCTGATTAATAATATAAAAAATTGGGTATTTGTCCGTTTATCATTTTATGGAAAAAAAAAAAAACAAAAACAAATTGTAGTTATCCTATTTTCTATATAACAACCTACAAAAGGTATCGTCATTATTGAATGGTGCCCCTTAATTAGAAGATCCTTTTGAACAGGAA